GTCGGAGGCGCTGGGGGCCGCCATGCGGGAGCAGGAGCAGCGGGGAAGGGTCCCTCCGGCTTCCCCCGCCCTCCCCCGCCTTAACGCGCCCCGCAGCCGCCGCTCACCCTGTGCCCGCAGCTCGGCATCCGCATCTCCCTGTCCCACGAGAAGGAGCCGCTGGGCACAGGTAGGGTGCGGGCAGGGTGGGCTGGGGGGGACGGCACCGGGATGGGTACGGGTAGGGCTGGGGACGCTGAGAGGGGAACACCGTGGGCAGAGGGTGGGTGTTGTGGGGCTGGGGGACCCTGGGAGGAGGACACCGGGAGGAGGACACCGTGGGTATGGATGGGGACACCGGGAGGGGTATGCCAGCATGGACATGGGCAGGGTGAGAGGGACCAGGGACATCGGGACAGGCACAGGAAGGACCAGGGACAGCAGGGTTGGGCGAGGATCCCCGGGGGACCGGGGACGTGGGAGGGCCAGTGAGGAGCAGGGACACCTGGGACAGGCACAGGTGGGGCCAGGAGGACGCGGGCACTGGGCTCACCCCATCCCTGCGGCGTCACTCACGGCTGGGCAGCGGGGCCGCTGGCGCTGGCGCGGGACCTGCTGGCCGAGGGCGGGGAGCCCTTCTTTGTCCTCAACAGCGACGTGATCTGCGAGTTCCCCTTCGCGGCGCTGGCCCATTTCCACCGGCAGCATGGCGGCGAGGGCTCGCTGGTGGTGACCCGTGTGGAGGAGCCGGCCAAGTACGGCGTGGTGGTGAGCGAAGCTGACACCGGCCGCATCTGCCGCTTCGTGGAAAAGCCGCGCGTCTTCGTGTCCAACAAGATTAATGCCGGGCTCTACATCTTCAGCCCTGGTATCCTGCAACGCATCCAGGTAGGGGCCAGGGCACTGGACTTGGCCGGGCTGGGGGGCCAGGTCCCCTGCTCAGCCCCGTGCCCCATCCTTGCAGCTGCGCCCCACCTCCATCGAGAAGGAGATCTTCCCAGCCATGGCACAAGAGGGGCAGCTCTACGCCATGGAGCTGCAAGGTAAGGCCCTGTGTATGGTGTGGGCAGCATGAGGGGGGGTCTTGCCTGCACTGCCGCCCCTGCGCTGGGGGCTGTCATTGTGGCTCTGTCCCCGCAGGCTTCTGGATGGACATCGGGCAGCCGAAAGACTTCCTCACAGGCATGTGCATGTACCTGCAGGCGCTGCGGGCTCAGCACCCCGAGAAGCTGCACTCGGGGCCCGGTGTTGTAGGGAATGTGCTGGTGGTAAGTGCCACCCCCCAGCACGCCAGCCCCAGGCACATGTCACGGGCTCTCCACGTACTCCCACCGCCATCCTCGCTGCCATCCTCAAGCTGTGCCCTCCTGTCCCCACGCTGGCCAAGTGGCACGGGCTGTGCCGAGAGCTCTGGCTGCCCTCTCAGCCCCGGTGCACCCCCTCTTCCTTCCAGGATCCCAGTGCCAAGATCGGGGCAAACTGCGTCATTGGCCCCAACGTGACGATTGGGGCCGGCGTGGTGGTGGAGGATGGGGTGCGCATCAAACGCTGCACTGTGCTCAAGGGGGCCCGCATCCGTTCCCACTCCTGGCTGGAGTCCTGCATCGTGGGCTGGAGCTGCTCCGTGGGGCAGTGGGTGAGGATGTGGGTGCCTCTGCAGGGGACTGGCACTCAGCTCTTGCCCTCCTGCCCCCTTGGGCTGCAGCCAAAGGGATGGAGGGATGCGCCAGCACCTGCGGGCAGGAGTGTGGCACTGAGCCCCGAGCCGGGGCAGGTGTGATGGGGCCTCTCTGGGGCAGGTACGTATGGAGAACGTGACTGTGCTGGGCGAGGACGTCATCGTCAACGACGAGCTCTACCTCAATGGGGCCAACGTGCTGCCGCACAAGTCCATCGCCGAGTCCGTACCAGAGCCGCGCATCATCATGTAGCAACCCCCGGTGGGCCCTGCACTCCTGGCTCTGCGTGGATTAAATATTTATATTTCCATGTACTGCTGAGCATCATCTTAGCACGGCCAGAGCACTGGGTTGCTCACCAGGGCTGGCCTGGCTTCCCCTCCCCATGTCTCAGGGCACCACATAAGGAAGAATAATTTAATGCTGCATTTCATGAAGTCAGCCCCCAGCCAGGGGCAAGTTAACAGCCCGAATGCTCAGCCGCATGTCCCCAGGGCTGCCGCAGAGCTGAGGCCTTGAGCACCCCTCCCTGAGAACGGCCCGCAGGGCAGAGGGGCTGCCATGGCCCAGGCGCTGAGCAAGGGGGACAGTGGCCCCAGAGCCTGGCATCGGGCCTCCACCTCTGCCGGCGTCTCCCTCCCTGCAGCCCCCTGCCCCACGCTGTGGCGCTGTGCTGGGTACTGGCCCTGCGGGCAAGGGTCCTGCAACCCTGGGCAGGGCGAGCGTTTGGGGAGAAGCCAGCATGCAGCAGGGGGGCCGCCCTGCTCAGCTGAGGGAGCCTGTGGTGTGGGGCTGGGCGCTATGAGCTGGCTGGCTTGGTGAAGTCATCCACCCCCGTGATGGTGGCCTTACAGAAGAAGCAGTCCTTGTTGTTCATCAGGTGCTGGTTGATGCAGGCTCTGGGACAGAGGAGGAAAGAGGGTGAGTCCCCACCCTGCACGGCATGGGGGGCCAGGGGCTGACAGTCGCCCTGGTGAGGGTCGCACATGCGAGCTACTCACTTGCATGACTTGTGGGAGCAGGGTCTGAAGATGGCCGAGATGGGATGTGCATAGCAAATGGGGCACAGGTCTTCCTCACTGGTGGGCTGGGGGGGGCACCAGGCAGTTAGCGGTGGCAGCGAGAACCCCATGTCCCAAGGCAGCTGTGCCGGGAGCCGGGGCTGCTGCCAAGCGTGGGGACTGGGCTGGAGGGACTCACCAGCGTGGTGGCAGCTGCCTGCTTGGACTCCTCGCTCAGGTGGCTCAGCATCTTGTCCACCTTCACCAGCTCCTCGGCACTGATGTAGTCAGTGTCTGTGGGGACAAACCGTGTGTGTGTGGGGTGAATGTGACCCTTGGGCTGCTCTGAGGCCGCTGGGCGATGCACGGGGGCTGCAGTTGCCCTCGGGGACCAGCCAGGACAGGGATCCTGGTGCTGGGGACAGCAAGCTGGACATTGGGTGCTGTGAGGGGACAAAACTGCTGCCAAAAGTGGGCACTGGACACAGCCCCATCCCAAGCACCACCGCTGGGGGACTGCAGGGGAGCCATGGACCCCTGTCCCCAGGGCTAAGGGGGCTGGGACATGCTGCGGGGGACACAGACACCAGCAGCTGTGGCCAGGTGGTGAGCACAGCCCAGCTCCCAGTGCAGTGCAGACACTTACAGGTGTGCAGGGAGAAATGGCGCTTGTCTGTGGCCGGGGCGGCAGATACCAGGGCTGAGGGCTCGGCATGGCCCAGCAGGTACTGGATGGAGCGCAGCTGGAAGCAGGGGTCCGCCAGCAGCACCGCCGTTGCGCGCTCAGCCCTGCAAAGGGACACAGTCAGGCCTCTACCCCAGGTACAACCCACCCTGTGGTCACAAGGCTGCGTCCCCAGCCGGTGGCCCCCCCCCAACTCCTGGTAGCATCGAGCCAGGGAAACATGCTTCAAATGCAGCCAAAGGGCAGCAGCCCTCCTCCTCTTCTGCCACCCCCCCAGCTCAGAGGCTCTGGGGATCAATACGGTGCATTAGCACTTGCTGAGGCTGCAGCCCTCACACACCGGTCCCCAGCTGAGCCTGGGGAGCTGCAGGGCAGCTGAAGCAGCCAGCACCACCCTTGCGTCACAGCACTGCAAGGGTAAAAGGAGACGTGCTACACAGCAGCCTCATGCCTGCACCAAGGGGACAGCTCAAGGTGCCCCCAGGGCAAGCGGGTGCCCTGGCAAGGCAGGAGGGAGCAATCATGGCTCTCCCTTGCTTCAAACATCAGCAGGGACAGCCAGGGCAGCAGGAGGCAAACCAGGGCAAAGCAGCCGCCCGGCAGCGCAGGCTGAGCCTGGGCTGGGGCGCAGGGGGTTAACAGCCCCTTGATACGCAGCAGCCGCAGCCGCCAAATTAGCTTTTTGCTGCCCTAATGGAAACCAATTCCCCAGCCTGGCTTTCCGCTTCCCACTACCGCGCCCGGGCTCTAGGTAATGACATTCCTGCGTGTCCTTCACCCTGTGGCCACCCCCTCCCTGCCAGCAGCCCACGGCACCCCTGTCTGCCATGGGGACCCCACCGACCGCAGCCAGCCCCGCTCACCCCATGGCTGGGGGTGCTGAGGAGGGGTCCCTGCCTGCTCATGCAGGGGGTGGTGAGGATGAGAGCAGTGGGAAGGACCACGACAGTGCTAAGCAGCTGCTGGGGGGGGATGACCACCATCCCACTCCCAGCCTGGGTCCAGGATCAGACTCAGGGGCTCCCAGAGGTGATGATGGGGCGGGAGTATTACAGCATCCTCCCAGAGGCTGGGCAGTCACAGAGCAGCCGACGCGGCTGCCTTACAGATTACAGCTGGCTGAGGTTGCCGGTCAGCAGGAGGGACAGAGGCTGGCGGAAAGGCAGAGG